CCCCAAAACCCCAAAACCCCAAAACCCCAAAACCCCGTCTCTTAATAAATTATTGAATAAATTTTCCAAAATACTATTTCCAGCAAGGGCTAAGATCAAAGAGTGACAATGCTGTAAGTTAATAACCAAAGCTGTTGTAAGAAAATTAATTGCTTATGATTCAGAAAAGTGCCCAGCAGCAGCTGGGCACTCTTTCCAAACATGGAAGGAGTGCCAAGAGCGTTGGCAGCTAGGAACGATTTGTAACAATTTCTCCGATTTTCTTTAGATCAGCATTTTGTGATCAATTATTTGCTGATTGTTTACTAACTTTCTGTATAGAAAATTTAAGATAACGGTTGATACAACTCCGTCGCAATCTAAAACTTCCAAGAAGACTAAAGTTTCAAAACTAAATAATCTATTGAAATCTCCAGCGAATAGGAAAGCCCATAAGCGTACGTTTAAAGAAATGTTTGCTCCTCTTGAATCTTTGGAAGACAATTTATCCACGGTGATTTGAAATAACAGAGAAAGATCTGCTAGCGTTAGAATGGAGAAATTTGAGATATTTATAATTATTTTTGTTCAGTTGGGTTTTTAATATAGACAATTCTCGTGAATTTATGATAAAGTTGATAAAATGTTACCTTCACCAACGATTTGAATATAGTTATTAATTAGACTCCTATATTCCAAAATCGATTTCTAACCCAAATAATAGCTTTAAAATACCCTCAGCTAACTTCTAACTGCTATTTTTTCTATTTTCTAAAATTATATCTAACCTTGATAATCCTGACCTCAAAATTATGTAGATTACAATAAGGACGACATGGTAGAGACACTGAAAACACCAACTTTTGCTTGTAAGCAAATTCATTACATTCCTTTCCCAAAATTTGGCCCAATATAATATAAAATATTAACAAAATTTAAGATTCTTTAACTCTCCTAGATGAAAGCCAGGGACTTAACAAATTTGATTTCTCAAAGAATAGAAAATCACGCAGACATCATCCTGGGGCAAGGTAAGTCTACTTTTCAGTTAAAGATTTTTGAGCTTTGTGAGAGTTAATACCTTCATAGACCCAGTAATATCCGAAGAACAGGAACTGTAGATGTCAGCAAATAAAGTAGACTTTAAAGAAAGTAGTCAAATTACTGAAGATGAAGAGGAAGACGATAGGTAATTTATAAAGAGCTTTGGTACCTATATGAGTTAAAACCCAAGATTCATTCTACAGATCTAAATTTAGATGTAGCATAATAGGAAGGGATAAATATAGCAACTTTTATGATAAATGAGACTGTTTTTGTGACTGATACTCTAAAGACATTTTACATTAAAAAGAGGAGTCGAGTAAAGTCTATACAGTTTTCATATTCGAGAATGAGTAGCGAACCAATCAGTTCTAGTTTATTTCTAGATTCTCCACTAGATCAATATGGTTCACCAAGATATGAGATAATTTTAAATTTGAGAGAAATAATATATCTGCGATTGCTGATACTGGCTTTCAATAGAAAATCTTCTCTGATTTCAGGTTTGCACTAAAAGTTCTCTTATACTATGAATTTGGAAATATTGAGAAATTTATTCTTAATAAAGCTCTTTCTTTAGGATCAAAAGAGTTATGGAAGAACGAAGCAGTAGACCATGCACAAAAGTTGTAAGTTAGCAACAAGTTAACTCTAGAATATAAAATTTATGACAGATTCTGTTACTAAAGTCCAAACCATCAGGTTAAGGAAAAACAGCTTTAGTCCAGCAGACTTTTTGCCGAATGATCGGTACAGGACTGCATTGATTAATGAAGACATCAAGGGTTGGTCTTCCGTTGCCAGATGTATTGCAAAGCACACATCTAATGTTGATGTATCAGGAGTAGTCTCTGAGTTGTTCAAGCACAAGCATATTTACACCAAAAGTTTAAGGAATCCAATGAAGAAATATGGAACTATCTATCAAAAGAAAGGAGCAATTTTCAACACACAGAAAGAAAAGAAAGACCATCTAGCAAATATGAACAGACTTGATTACATGATGTATGAAGCTATGAACATGAAGAAGAGATTTAATCAATCCAAAGACTATTTGAGCGCCATAACTAGTGACAAAAAGCATGTTAGGAATAGTTTTGTTAAGTATGGTTCCTTTCAAAATTCAATTATTTACATCAACAATGTAAAATTAACCAGTATTTAGACATAGTCATGACCATGAAGACACTAGTGCAAGCAGAAGCAGGAATATGGTTAAGTTCTCAAATTCAAGCTATATTCACTCAGAAAGGAGTAAGATTACTTATTTATTTTTCAAGGAAGCAATATTTCAAAATCAAGCTATCACAAAGATTCATTTTCAGACGAATCGTTTGACAGCCTTAATGAATCTTCCAAGGATGTTCCTATAAAGTTCAAGAGAAAATCAAGGGCGAGAAACCTGAAACTTTTTAAACAAACAAAGAAACAGAATATGACTTTTGTTGAGAAAAATAAGACATCTGAAAAGCTTAAGCTCAATAAAATTGTGTCAATGAAGACACTAGAGAATCAGGTATTCACTTACTGTTTATTTTCAGTCTGCTAAGAAAGGAGACACGTCACCAATCTCACGTCTTCCTTCGATCCACCAATGGAAGCAGCCAGTATTGAAAAAGAGTTTGTACTGAATGTCTCAGAAGGAAAAGCATGAACACCTGGTTAACCAGATAAAAGACAATGTAGACCTACTGTTACATCTATAGATCAAAGAGTTATCTGAAAATAAATCAAGCAAAGATCTGGTCAGCATCATCAGTAGTCATAGATCGATGAGCAAGAAGTCATTACCTAAGAAAATTAATCTGAAGTTTAGTAACAGCAAGGATAAAGATCTGATCCTGGCTTCTAATCAGGATGAAGTTAAGCTTAACAGAATTCAGATTCTTCGAAAGTGACTAAAGTTCCTTGGATTCTACAAATGCCTTCGTAAAATAATAGAAGAGAATTTAAAATCTTCAGACTCTGCAGAACAGGCAGCCGGCAGGCTGCCTGCAGAGAAACTAATTGATTTGAAATGCCGTGTTACTTTTATGAAGTGAATTGGCAAGGTGACCAAACTTTTGAGTGAGGAAAGAAGAAGGTAATAGAGTTGTTGTTAGCGAGGTTTTAGGTATAGAGAAACAGGAAAGGTGCAGAATGAGTTTGGGGGGAATTTGGAGGATAATTTTGTGAGCAAGATTTTGATCACCTGTCAGCAAATAAAGCGAATAGAGAAGATTGTATCACCAGCTCCTAGAAGAAGGAAACTTTTATCATCTGGAGTATAATTTATTTTAACCATAATACTAAGAACAATCCTATTCTCTATTGTAATGACCAAATTGGGATACAGGACTAAAATCATCAATAAATAATTCCACTTCTAAACTGCCATCTTTGTCTCCAACTCTCATATCCGAGGTGTAAGTAAGGTTGGCTTAACCTAAAAATTCGATAGGTTTTGAGCCTAATTATGTTCTACAGAACTCTTATTTTTGTCATGCCATGAACTACTAGCAGCATTAATGAATTTTCAGCTAATTTGAATATGAACTCACTGTAGCCTTGCTAGTAGAAGAGTTTGAAGTAAAGTTAGAAATTTATGAGCGATTTTATTGGCGTTTAGGAGGATAGAGGGAGGAGCTTGGGGAATTTAGGCGGAGAGAGGAGTCTGAAGCAGAGGGTGATGAGGGGAGGCTTTGGGTGGTGTTTAGATGGGGAGAGATAAGTGGAGGTTATTTGGGTTTTTATGATTTTTTGTATTTTTAAAGCTTTAGGCCATCCTGAGATGGTTTTAAGAGTTTCTAAGTGTTTTTGCTTCTTTTTAGTTAAGAGTATGATTTATCTTGCAAATGGGATACCAAATCATTTAACTCAGAAACCACAACAGCTTCTGCTCTAGCTCTATTAAAATTGTTAAATTTATACATCAAAATTCTAATTTCCCAATCCTCTAAACCTACTTCAGGTCCTTCTCTCTTTCAACCTCTCCACTATCTCTTTTCTATCACTCAATCCGCTCGATTCAGGTGAATCAGCCAATTTATTTCTTCTCTTGAACCAATCCACATCCCATCCCTAAATTTCTAAGCGGGCGTACCCTCAAATCTCAGTTAAAGCCTAGTGACTCCTAAAATTTTAATCTTCACGAACAACTTGGCTTTAATAGTATTCTCAAAAATCGTCATATAGAATTCAAGGTTCCACATAAAATTTGGGGTTTTGGGGTTTTGGGGTTTTGGGGTTTTGGGG